ATCTCTGGATGCAATATGCTTTAGAAGTGCAAAGTTGTTTTTTTTTTTTTTTAAATGATTATAGGAATGAAGAGTTCATTTTCAAGTGTTTATTTCTTAATCAAGAAAGACAATTTGTTCAGAGGTAGGAGGATGGTGGGGACTTCCTGCTTGATTTCACTCTTTTTATATCATCTCTTCCCCATTAGGTTGTTGACGGAACTTGAATCGCCTTCTTGGTGGCCATTCCGTGGCAAACTCTGGAAAGGGCCATTGGAAGCAAAGCCAAAGGAAGAAGCCGCGATTTCAGGGTCAAAGAACCAGGAAGGAGTCCTAATCAGAATTCCAGTTATCATCACCCTCGGAACGAATTCTAACGTCATGCCAGGAAAATTCACGCTTCTGGTTTCTGGCCTGGAAATCAGTGACTGCAATTCTCAGGTCATTCACCGGTTTGAATTGAAAGATGTAGATGATATCAAAGTTCATACACCATACGAGATCAGCATCCGTCAGAGGTTTATTGGGAAGCCAGACACCTCTTACAAGCTGTTGTCAGCAAAGATGCCAGAAGCAATCCCAATCTTGGAGATGCAGTTTAGCAAGAAAATACAGTTTTTGGAAGATGCATTGGGATTTGCCGGTGCAAGGAAATCTCCTCAGGCAGATCTGGGCAATTCCATTTGGCAAGCAGGTAAATGACAGAAATGAAGCGATCAGTCACGAAGCTGGTTCATTAGTAGCAACTGTTTTCAACATTTCACAAAATCTGGAAGAAAACTGTGCAGGTTTTACAGTGCAAATCCTCTTCCTTGCCTTAATAATCTAATGATGATGAGACCACGCAAATGATAAAAGGAAACCTTTGACAGTAAGAGAGCAATATTATCTATCATCACTAGTGACCGGTACCTGGGATAAGCATTTCCTTACCAGCTTGAACATAATTTTGCCAGGGTTTGGCTGTACATCACGAGGCCTACATTTTCAAAAGCAATCAGTAACTATGGGTACCTTGAGTCTCTCCTCCCCCAGCAAGAGCCCAACTTGAGACATCTTAAAGGGGCCTGATTTTCAGAAAGTTCTGAGCACTCTCTCAAGTTGGGCCCTCCGAAGCTGAGTTACCCAAACATACTAATTGCTTCTGAAAATGATTAGTTTAGATTTGAGTTTCCTTCAGGTTTCTGCTCCATTTTAAGTACCTCTTTGCTCTCTTGCCCCTATTGGATTTTGTGCCTGTCTTTTGACAGTGGTCTTTTGAGATCCACACTCTTTCTCTCCCCACCCCTCACATGCTTGAGTCGTGTGTCATCGCTCTTTTCCTTGTGGCTGATGACAGCTAGCGGTAGCTCTGAACTGAACCGGTCATTGAGTTAATCACAGCCTGTTTAAAACTGCTGACTTTCAGCCCAGCATGATTTAAAATGACCAAGGTGTTAAACACCAACTGCAACAGACATGCTATTAATAATAATTAAAATTGCAGCAGAGGCCTAGTACTCCCAGTTCCCATACCAGGTAATTTGTTTTTAAAACCGTATTATTTGTGCACGAGAACCCACTGGTTCTAGAGGAGAGTAGATGAATCCATAGTATGGCCATTTTAAGGATATGCTGCAAGATTAAAAACCTTTCCATCACAACCAGAATGAAATTCACTATCCCTATTCTCCTTCCCCCACCCCCTCAAAAAAAAAATAATTCTGCAAGCACCGTTTTCTGTAACCCCTAATGGGAGAAGAGCTAGTGTTCCCCTGAAGTCCAGTAGGGATTTCACTACTGCCATGCTAACCTGGAAGGCCCTCAGATATCATGGTGAGAGGTGGCAGGACAACATTGGTACTGAGATATGGATGGATTTTTTTTTCATGGGCAGTTGACTGAGGAACAAACCAGTTAAAAAGATACATTCCCAGTGCATTTAAAAATTTGAACAATAGAAAGCTGACCTGGCAAAAGAATAGATGAAACCAGCATACTTTCTATGCACCGAACTAAAATTGGATTTCAGCAGGGACAAAATGTTCTCTTGTTGACCAGTCTTCAAGGACCGGGGCTTGGAAAAGCTTGTTAATTTTTAAGGAAATAACTCTTAGGCACTTGGCACTAAAATGTAAGCACAACAACTTAGAGGAAAAACAACCTGCTGATTTCCAAGCACCGAGTTACCCAGGCAAATTGGTGTTCAGTTCCTGATAGACTTAATGCTTGTTACATAAAATAATTGGTTATAAAGCCTTATTTTGCTTCGTTTCTCACTGCGCTGCTCTGTTTGCAGCTGAGTCAGTGAGTCAAGGATGTTGCTGTCCTATCCCCACCTGCATTTTTACTGTTTAAGTTGGAAACACCAATAGAAGAAACTGGAGGTTGTGGAAATCGTGACGTCTGTGACTCCACCAAAACTTCTTTCCCTTGTTTGTTCATTCTGTAGATCCAGGTGACATATTGTTGCCACAAGATGGCAGTCACTGACTGCATTTTAACCTGTGGGTTTTTTCCATACCTCTGGTGGAAACATGGATTTTCCTAAAGGAAAAAAAAAATTCCGGACCCTGAATTCTGATTCATGAACTAAAAGACACAGATAATCTTTTGTACAGTTGTCTTTACATTTGAGACTTTCTGTAACAGCAGATGCTAACCCATGGCATTCCCATGACTTTGACAGAACACTGCCATTTTAATATAACACCTGAATATAATTCCCCAATGAAAGAGGCAGAAACTATGCATGCTTTGCATTCATTCATACATATATATGTATATAGAAGGTATATTTTCCTCATAGTTTTGACTTGGGTTCAAGTACAACCCTCACTGAAGCATTCTGTATCTTCTAGTTTGCTTGAAACCAATTGTCTAATTGTCTTGGATTTGCTTACTAGCTTTAGCCTATTGGACAAACCCATACAGGGTGTTCAACAGCCTACAATTATCTAGTTCTTGTGCCTTAGTGTAAGATAGGTTTTGCCGGACTAGATCAGACCCTTAGACTATCTGACCAGTAATAGCTACTTCAGAGAAATGTACCAAAAATCCAACAGTACACAGTTATGGGGTAGCCTACCCCCAGGGAAAGTGTCCTCCTGACCCCAATAGTTAGAGGTTGGCTTATGTCCTGCAGCATGAGAGTTTTACATCCCTTCCAAAACTCCTGAATTGTTAATCCTTACTATTCTAAGGATAGTTATCTATATGAATGTCTTGATATCCATATGAATGTCCAATACTTTTTTTGAGGCCTGCTAAGCTCTTGACCTCAACGATACCTCGTGGCAGTGAGGTCCCTGGGCCAGTTGTGGTTTGGGAGAAGAAAACATATTTCCATTTCTCATCTTTAAATGTTGCTGCCTTTCAATTTAATTTAATCTCCTTTTTATTAAGTAAATAAAATCTGCCCGATCTCCTCCTGTACCCCATTCATTATTTCGTGTACCTTTTATCATGTCCTTTCCTATTTCTCTTTTCATCAAGAGAAACAGGGCCGAGTATATTTCCCAGTGAATTAACTAGTGAATGAATACTGAATATGACTATTCTAATGAATTAACTAGTTTTAAATGGCACTCAGTTGGTAAGACACACAAAGAATCTTGTCTAACCATAGGCAGAAGTTTTTTTTCCCATGTTCCTTTAAACAAGATTGCAGTAGTAGTTTACTACAAACAGTATTTTTAAAAAAAAAATAGTGTTTGATACTTAGTGGCTCAGAGGATACAAGAGGAAGTTGGACAGAGTAGTACTAGCACAGTGAATGACTTGCTTGTCTTAAAGCTTGATTGTCTGAGTCCAATAACAGACAGACTGATAACCAAATCATTCCAGGGGATTATGAGTTTGCAGTAATTACATGCGAGGGATTTAGGTTTTTGTATTTTTAGTTTAGCTTTTGTCTCCTTTTTCATTAAGAAGTAACGCTATCCAAAGTAGTAGCGTATGTGCTGTCAGGCGGCCAGCCAGCTTGGCACCAGTTCTTTGGATCCAGAGCGAGCTCCAGCTTCCGACTTATTTACTTTCTGTCCTGATGTCTCCAGCAGCTGTTGTCACTGTGCCGTGTTAGGTCAGGCTGTGCGATAGCAGGCAGTGGCAGCTTCCTTCGACGTTCAGTGCCCCTTTAAGTGGGGCTACTTCTGGGATGTTTGGAGTGTCTTGATACGTAAATATGGTTGGTGCTAAACACCCGAGACAATCTGTATTACAAATAATGGCCTTTAATCGTAGCACTTCTCTGGGACAGGAGGTATCAGATATTGCAATAGGAGCCGGTGCTTTAAATAAAGGACAGGTGGCGTGCTGCTTCAGAAGTCAAATCCGTGCTGCTGCACTGATTAGCTCTGTGCGCGCTGTTAGCGTCAGTATTGCCCTTTTGTTCCGAGGCTAGCTGACAGGATTCACAGGTGTTCTCCAGAGCAAGCTGTGTTTTGCAAATTGAATTGACTAATGTGTGAAGGGGAAGCAGAAAAAGAGCCTGCGTTTTTCCTGTACGGAACAAACACCTTGCCTCCGACGTGTCGTCTGCTTCAGATGGCTGCTTGGGGTCCAAAATTAACCTTTGAGCAATTGCCCCCCGGTACTAAGTAGCTTGTCTGGGGCACGGCAGGCCTTCCAGTTGCTACGTTCTGCCGGCTAGCCGGAGAAGTTGTTTGTGTAGTTATGACTGTCGCATGATCTCTGATGTGTTACATAGATAATGGATTTTATTTCAGAGGAAGAGTCATAGAATCATAGAATATCAGGGTTGGAAGGGCCTCAGGAGGTCATCTAGTCCAACCCCCTGCTCAAAGCAGGGCCAATCCCCAGACAGATTTTTACCTCTGTTCTCTAAGTGGCCCCCTCAAGGATTGAACTCTCAACCCTGGGTTTAGCAGGCCAATGCTCAAACCACTGAGTTATCCCTCCCCCCATTAAATGTGATGATTCTCATTTAAGTTCCTCTTGCATCTCAACAGAAGCCTCCACTGTGCAAAGCATAAAGCACTTCACTTGGTCTTACCTCCTGCATTCTCCACCTGGTCCAGCAGATGTCACTGACTGACTGTCTGAATTTCTCTTTACAGCCACAGGGCGCATAGTAAGCGTGGTGCAACCTGGATCCTCATCGGAAGGAGGCGGAGGTGGAGGTGGAGGTGGGCAGGCTCAGCTGCAAAAGCAAAAACAAATCATGTCTGAGTCAGAAACTCAAGAACTTAAACAGGTACTGTCAAGAGGAGCCCAGGTTAAAGCAGCATATACCAAAGCCCTTTCCTTGTGCCCTCCCCCTAAATGTGAACACTCTGAAGCGGAGCAGGGTTCATCCCTAGGTCTTATACATAGAGCTCTTAATTTACTATAGCCCAGGTCGTCTTATCCTCTCTTTCTCTGGAACTCTGGAGGAACATAAAAACAAATCCACCCCTCAGTGTGCTTTCCACCACCTTTTGTTGGGTTTTGGGGTGTTTTTGCCTTGTTTTATTTTGTTGAGAAATCGGGGATTTGTCATCACGGTGAAAATAGCTCTGGGATTTTGATTCATTGAAAAGTCGCAGGCTCGTGCCACCTCCATTCTACACTGAAAATTAAATGTTTCAGTACTGATTTTCCAGATCACGTTATGCCCATTTGTACTTTCTCCTTCCCTGTTTTACAGCTCTTTAAACAGACGCCATCAACTTGAATTTTTTTGAACGATCATTTATCTGTCTTGCAGTAACATCTGGGGGAGCCATTGTGCTGTGGATGGTAAAGACCCTATCCCCGAGAGCTCGCAGTCCGGTTTAGATACAAGATCCAACTGGTGGATTGGACAGATGAATGTGGGGGCAGGGACAAGATTGCAGTAAAAAGGCTAGCTTTTAAAATATTCCAGTCTACTACAACTGCCTTAAAATATTAGGTCCTGAATTTGTTTTAAATTCCTTAAAAAAATAAAATAAAACATTTTTCTCCTGTTGTTGAAGCCTTTTCAGCCGCAGAGAGACTGACCATACACAGAGTGCTGTCAAAGTAAACAACCTGGAAAAGCAAAGGAATGTATTTTCACTAACTTGCGTGTTACTTATATCTGTAATGAACCCGACATTTTTAGACAGGTGTGACTTTCAAACCAATTGTGCCCCTTTAAAATATTTCGCAAAGAATATATTGGGGGTGTTCCTGGCATTGTCCTTTTCCTGTCTCTCATTTGAATGATGCTTTTGTGGTTTCGTGATAGCATCGTGTGAAAGAGCCACTTATTCCGCTTCAGCCTTCATTCTCCTTCTCTCACGTTATTCCAGACTCAAACCCCCTTTTTAATTAAATTGGACCTGAGTTTGCAAGTACGCAGCAGTCATTTTAAGGATGGCTAAAAATGAAAACCGTGCAAAAAAACCACATTATAGTTAACAAAAATCACTACTAGCAACCCACGGATGTCAGAAGTAAGGTTAGACTTCACAGAAACCCAGACAGTTGAAAGGTTGTCTTTGCAGGGAAACAGACTAGAGATCTTTTTTAAAACAGAAAGTCCCACTAATCATTTCAAAGTTCACCAGAGCCCCTTTGGCCCCAAGGGGCCATTCTGATATTCCTAATACACCCAGCCAAGGTTTTCCAAAGTGTCTGATTTTTGGAGACCTCCATTTTCAAGTACCCAAATTGAGAGACCTGGATACTGAATATGAAATACTGAGCACCTGCTTTCCGAAAATCTGGTCCCTGTAAGTTGCCTCAGGTTGCACCCCCAATAATTGAGGCACCCAAAATAACACTTGAAAAATCATTGCGCCCCACCTCCTTCCCTCACCCAAGGACAAATTCCATAGTACATCTTTGGACAAAAAATGGGTCTTGTAAACTATATTTCACAACGACTTTATGCATTCAACTCAATTGAAGTGTCTAGGATTGTCTGCTTTTGAGAGAAGGTGTGGGGAAAGGGGGAAATGTAAATTAGGACAATGCATTATTGTCTTCCTGGGATGGGGTGTGCTCTTCATACTAGCCCAACAAGAGCTGGAGTGAGCCAACCCAATCAGCTAATTAGCTTGCAAGCAGGGGAGCTTTAGGCTGGAGGCAGCTAATTAGAAACAGGCTCACCCTGTGCTGAAATAGGCAGGCCTTGTATAAAGCCAGGTAGGTTGCTGTAGTCTGGGGCTGGTGCTCTTGAGAGAGGCTGCTGGGAAGTAGGCTGCAGTCACTCCTTGAGCGGAGGGAGTTGGAGTCTGGCAAACCCAGAGAGGAGGAAAGCCAGATATGTAGGAAGAAGCCTAGGAAAACAGCAGCAAGAGGTAGGATTGTAAGGGACTGTGGCTGCTTGTTATAGGGTTCCTGGGCTGGAACCCAGTGTACAGGGTGGGCCTTGGTTCCCCTACCAGCCCCTGGGAAGTGGCAAGGTCATTGGAGGCACTAGCCAGACAGCAGGTCTTGAAAGACTATGTATTCCCCAGAAGGGGAGGACTTTAGTGACTTGGCCTGAGGGCTAAGCCACAGCGAGGAAGCTGCAGATCCGAGTCAGCAGGGTAGTAGAACGAGTCAAGATGGGAGAAGACAACACTGGCGGGAGAGCGCAAGCTGGCATAGCTAATCCCCAGGACGGCTAGCAAGAGGCACTGCTCCCCATGAGTGGATGCCGTGACACTCCCCGAAATCAGTATGCAAATCATTTAACTTGCTAACAAAATGTGCAGTAATTGAAGTGGAGTTGACCTTTTTTGAGGCCTTTAAGGCTTATGAAAAGCAAAGTCTGAAATTTATAAGTGCAGCTACTGCCTCTCTACAATTCAGCCTAACACTTGTGCAACTCTTATGCATTCAGCTGGGTTAGTTGTTTATCTCGTAACCGGTCAGCGATAGAACTACAGAACTAGACTTTGCAGTTGTAACAGAAAGAGCATAAAAGCCAAAATGTTAAAGGAAGGGCTGTTGACCACGAGCTGTGAGGGCTGCTGAAGATGCCTACTTATTTTGCAGCACCTCTTAGAAGAGGCTCTTGAGGAATTCCTTATTCCAGGGCCAATTCATGACAAATACATGGCCTAGTTCAATGCCTGGAAACGATTATGGCGCTCTGCGGTTATGAGTGGTGAGTGTAGGCTGCTCCTTACTCAGGCGTGATCCTGACTGCTCCTGCCCCCAGCAGTTCAGGGTCAAGAGGAGCCACATGTATTTCTCTTGTCTGCATTGAGGGCCTCACCTTCAGTGCTGCTGCTCCCAGAAGTTCTCCATGCACCATCTTTGCTGTCTACTCCAGAACTCTGGAGCAGAGTCAGACAGCTCGATGGAGAATCTAGGCAAACCTCATCCTTCTTCCCTGTGGAGAAGGAATGTGGTGGGATAGATTAGAAGGGAAGGAGGTATGAGGATGTGGAAGAAGAGAACCTAGGATTGCTTGAAGGGGCAGATGCCTGCTCCTGTAGGCAGCTATACAAAGTATATCTGTTTCTGTGGGGTGAACTTTATACTAAGGTCCAGGCGCAGCACCTTTATGGAGATCCAGTACAAACCCTTCCAACTATTGTTTGAGGATGGTTGGTGTTTAAAGTGCTGCTCCTGGACCTTGCAGTCATGGAGCAGGCAGTCAGGGCGTCATGTATCTGCTTCTGGCATGTAGGTAACTGGCAAACTTCTCGATGCCCTGAATATCTCCATTAGATTTGCCCTATACTCCAGGTTATTATTGGGAGGCATCAATAGGATGTAGGACTGGGAGTTGGAAGACTTGGGTTCTGTTGACTGTGCCACAGACTCTGAGCAAATGACTTCACTCACTGTGGCTCTTCTTCCCTCTCCGTACAATGAGAAGAATGATAGTTGATCATCTTTGTCAAGCATGTCGAGATTTAAGGGCGAAACAAGCACTAAGTGCAAAATGTTAATGTGTGCAGGGCAGTATTGTAACTGTGGTATCCACCATTTTGAAAATTGCTTCATGGTATTCTGACCCTTGTGTGCTGAGTACCAATATTTTCTGAAGAGTTTCCCTCTTGAAAATTGATTATGCTCTTTATTTTTGGAATATCTTTCGTTCTGGACTGGAAGTGGTAGGGACTGTGAAGGGCTTTGTAGAGCTCTTTGTGGAATGGGTAAGACCAACAGACCATCTTAGGGTCGGAGAGTTGTGAGGGGAATGGATAATTAACAGGGAAATATCTGAGCTACAGGGTAGGCCTGGGGAGAAACATTCATAGGTGAAGTTCTTTCACAAAGCTACTCACATTTGTAGCAGCAACTCAACGAACTGAATATTAAGTACCTTTCATTAGAGCCGGAAGCCCTTAATAGTCTGGAATTGTGATTGGGTACTTAAGTGAAAGAACTTGCCAGGACTTCACCATGAGGCGTTCGTGTTTAAAACACAGCATTTTGTGGTTGTGTGGGCAGCGTTCCATTAGCTGGGCTATAGATTTGCAGAAAGAAGTCGACTGAGTTCCTGTGGTCTGTGGCTGAGTCGCTGTCTACCGGCTGACCATGGCTGACATAATGTCATTGGGTGTGGGAAGGGATACGATAATATTAGCTTAAGGATTGTGGTTGAGGAGGGGGAGTGGGATTTTGTTCACTAGATTTGGTTTGGCAAAATAAATTCAGTGCTTTCTAATTTCCGCTCTGTTAAACCTTTCCTGCCAAGGAGCTATTACCCTTGTGTTTACTACATCTGCAGTTTGCATATCCCATATAGCAGATGATACTATGTAAAGAAATTAATTTCCATAGCATTTGTGAGAAATCCATGGATTTCATTGTGTATCTTTCCAGTGGCTTCTCAGTGCCTCTTTGGTCATATGATTGTTCTAGTTTAGTTTAGTCTTTTCACTCTGATACTTTTCTCTGCCTTTATTTACCTTTGTCTTGCATTCACACTTCATCTTGGGAAAGCATAACTGTTATGAAGTCAAAGAAGCAGTGCTTAGTTGTGGGACCATTCAGCCACAGCATCAGAGTGCTGGAATAGCTCTATTTGTAACTTATACACGCCTTAAAGCCTGAAGAAACAAATAACCAGTACAGCAAATCCTGTAAAACTGATCTCTTGATTGCTGTCAGATGTTCCAGACAGAATGCACCTGCTATGCTATCGAATGTACCTATTCTAGAAATCGGGTTGTTAACTTCTGAGTATAGGACACAAATTTTGTGCCATAGGATGCACTCCACTGACTCCCTGGAGGCCCCAGAAGAGGATTTGTGAAGTCTGAACCACTGGCTGCATGTGTACACTGCTTGAGTGCACGTGTG